TCTAAACCTAAAAAAAAAACATAATTTCTCAGATCTCAAAAATCATGTGCGACGAAGTAATTGCTTTCGTTGAGTTCAAACAAGATCGGTTCGGAGGGGTCGACGTTTTGTCTCAGACGCTAGAGCCCATTGGTTCACTCTCGAGTGTTGATATTTGAGCTAGGCTTCTTAATAACTACAAGTCTGTCCACAGCTTGCTTGACGGAAAATTTTGGATTGGCCATGGCATAAACGGATCCGACGTTCAAAGATATTTAAAGAAAGGTTTTGCAGATATCGGCATCGACCCTCCCAAGGCCAAAGCTATATATAATACACGTGTCTTGTTGTCGTCCGGGTACAGGAAGGTATCTCTCTGAATTTTGTCTTGTTCTTTGTTAACTTGTTGATTTTGTAACATCTAACTTAAAGCTCTTCTTTTTTAACCAACCATTTCATGCAGCTTGCCGACCTTGCGGTACATTTTGGTTTAGGTAATGAAGGAATCGATTGCCTCGAGAATCTTAATGCTATCAAGCATTGTGCACACATTGTGTCATTATATGTAAGTTCTTATATATATATATATATAGCACATTATATGTAAGTTGTTCTTATATGTATAAGCAAGCATAAAGAGGTACAAACTGGTTTGTCTGCCGGAGCCGGATAAGTTGAAGAAATATGTGGATAGTGGTTTCCATTTCATGATTCTTATATCATAGATTTAACAAATGTTGCAGCTGTTATGGCGCGTTTCAATGAATCAGACATTAAGAGGTAACAAATCCAAACCTAACTTATTTGACAAGTCTTTCTCCGCCGCCTCCAAACCTAAAAAAAAACAAAAAACTTGTTTCTCATCAGATCTCCAATCATGTGCGACGATGTAATTGCTTTCTTTGAGATCGTTTTGGGAGTTACCGGTTCGGAGCGATGGAGCGATGGAGCTTGAGACTTGTGGGCTGGAGCCCATTGCTCAAAGCTATGGTATTCTTCGTAAGCCTAGTCGTGGTGTTGATTTAAATGAAAATGATATTCGAAAGTGGCTCCTTGACTTCTCCGATAGTATCCGCTACGCTCTCGACATCGTAACTTGGATTGGCCATGGCATAAAGGAATCCGACATTCCAAGCTTGGAGGAAGTTTTTAAATATCTCGACTTGGACCCTCCCAAACCTAAATTTATAATTGATACACGTGTCGCATTGTCGTTCGACAGGAAGGTATCTCTCTGTATTTTGGTCTTCTCCTTGTTGTTATTGTGATTTTGTAACACCTTCTAACGTAAAGTTCTTCTTTTAATTTAACCAACCAGTTCATGCATGCAGCTTGGCGAAATTGCGGAAGAATTTGGTTTAGGTAATGAAGGACCCGAGAGCGAGGAGGATTGCTACCAGAATGTTGATGCTATCAACCAATGTGCACGCATTGTGTCATCAACTGTAAGTTCTTTTATATATATACTAGATTCTAACCCCGTGCATCCGCACGGAAATATTTTTTATTGTTTAACGAATTTTATAATATAATTTGTGTTTTTGAGTTTAGATATAATTATTTTTATAAATATATTTTTTAATAAGTGAAAATATTGATTTTTGTGTTTAGATATATTTTTATAGTATTAAAATTAATTATAATTATAAAAATATAATTTTAACCCATCCACTAATATTAATTTATGATGAACTATTATAAAAACATAATTCTAATTTTTCCGTTCATATTACCGTATAATATAATTATTTGTTAAAAGTTTGAGATGTATTAACAGTATTATTTAGCATTATAGTTTTCTAAAATTTAATCAACAAAGGGAGTGTACAACTGGTTTTTCAAACCACATTATAGTGTATGCAATAATTTTTCATTTTTTATGTTTTGATTTTGTATGAAAAATATATTTTCGATATACATGTATAATTCAAAATTAGTGATTTTAGTTACCAAAATATTTTTTATATATATTTTTAGTTCTATGAATTTTAAAAAATATATTTTTAATATTTAAATTATATATTTGAATTTTACTTATTATTTTATTATTAATTTGTAAATAAATCATAATCGTAAATATATTATATAAGCAAGATAAATATCATATCATTTACATCATTATAAATATTTTATATTTCAAATATGACCATTATTTTTCATATGTGAATTTTTTTTTTCAAAAATTCTAGATATTTTATAAAAATGTTTAATAGTATAGAAATTATTTAGATTAGAATCTTTAAATCAAATCTAAATTAATATCTGATTTATTATTTTTAATCAAATCAAATCAAATCTAAATTACATATATTTAAGGAACTCTAAAAATATTTAAATTAATAACTAATTTCGAAATTAAATATAAATAATTATTAAAATTATTTTTAAACACTTTAAAAAAAATTAGGAATGTTTGGAAGCAAGTACTAAATGTGCTTCTGTTTTAATATAATAGATATATAAACACATTATATGTAACTTCTTCTTATATAAGCAAGCCGTAGATGGTGGAGGATTTGAACTGTTTGGACTTCAGGGATGCCGTAGAAGCTTCTCGGCCTTCCATGCCGAGATGGATTGCCTCCTCTGGGCTATGTCCTGTTTGAGAGAGAGACGGATACTTTCAGTCCACTTTCAATCCGACTGTTCGGATCTGGTGCGTATGACTGAGGTTCCAACTGATTGGCCGTCCTTTAATACAGAGCTAGATACCTTCCGCCTCCTTCAAGAGAGCTTCTCAGAGTGCACTTTATCTCATATTTCGAGGAATCTAAATGTCTGGGCGGATAGTCTTGCGAAAGAAGCTCGAGCAAGATGCGTTATCTTTTCCCAAATCGATCATAACGAGCTCACCGATGGTGGTCCACGGATCACTAATACGACAGTCCAAATGTGATTGTACTAGATGGGTAGTGGAAAAAAAAAAAAAACAAGCAAGCATAATTAAAGAGGTATAAACTGTTTTGTTTGTTGGTTCTTTGCAGGAGCCGTATAAGTTGAAGAAATATGGGGGTAGGGGTTTCCAACCCATTATTTGTTATCTCATGGATTTAACAATTGCTGCAGATGTAACTGCACGTTCCAATAAACTAGACATTGAGAGGTAATTCCGATTAAACAATTCAGAATTTGTTATTTCAGTCTTTGATGAAGATTAAAAAGATAACATTTGAATTTGATTTACAAGTTGATTTTATGCAGCGAGTTGATTCCGGTTTATGGATTGTTTTAATTTGAATCTTGTTTCGAATGTTACTTCGAGAATTCGCCGGTCCGATTCCCGACAACTAGTTTCGGCGTGACGGCGGCAAAATGCCAAAATCGTGCAATGACAGATTATGCACAAATAAAAGTTGATGGCACTCCTAGTTATACACATTTGAGAAATCGTGACAAAGATAAATTTGGTCGGAGCAAGTCGTTATAGCTTTCTTCGTTAAATAAAATCCTTTATTCTTAAGGTTTTGGCCGAATCTTATTTACTTAATTATGTTTAATTGAATCGGGTTAACACACTACACAATTATGGTGCTCCAATTTGCATAGCGTCACCAAATTAATTCGCCCCATTGATCCAGTCTATCGATTTTAGTATCATTCCTCCATGCCACAAAAATAATTGAAACTTATAAAGAAGTAAAGAGTATATTTTAATGTAAATAACAAAACTAGATGAAAATTTTGGAGAAAGGATCAGAATATTGGCTTGACTTCCTCTTGATGAAGAGGAAATAATAATCGCTTAGTATAATCAGATTCGATCATTTGGGGAAATTGTCATCACCTCCAATCTCCAAAAAAACCTTAAAAATTAACAAGAAATTAACAAAGAAAGCCCATTGAGAAAATCATCATTTAAGAAAACAAATTTTACAAAAAAGTTAGGAGAGGGATCAGAAAATAGGCTTGATTTCCTCTGATGAGAGGAAATATAAAATCGCTCAGTTTAATCAGATTCGATCATCTGGGGAAATTGTCATCACCTCCACGTCTCCATTACTAAATGTTTAAACTTTTTTCCTAAGAAAATACCGGAAATCTAAAAATTGACAAACAAACCCGTAATAATTCTAAACCAATCGTAATTCATAAAAATTAAGGAGAAGGATCAGAAAATAGGCTTGACTTCCTCTGATGAGAGGAAATATAAATCGCTCAGTATAATCAGATTCGATCATCTGGGGAAATTGTCATCACCTCCAAATCTCCATTAATTCTTATCTACAAACTTCTTATATACCAAAGCCTCTAAAAATTTCAGTGAAAACAGAGCCGAACACTACAATCATACAAGAAAATCTACGATTTTGAGCTGCCTGTAAGGAAACAATGCCAATCGGATTTACCCTAAACTGCAAATTCGAGCTGATTAGAAAAAACCCACAAGGATTTTCACAGAAAAATCAAAACGAATAACAGAAATAGGGAACGACTTTGGCGTCAGCTCATACACAACGAACATGAACAAGAACGGTGGTAATCAGTAAAGTGACGCGTAAAAACCAAAACTTTGAAAACCCCTTTAAGAACGAACACACAAGAATTTTGAGTGAGAATTGAAGAGAAGAGAAAGGATCTAAACCCTAGTGAAATAGAAGTCGACGGCTGGTGAATTGAGTTGGAGGATTTAGTCAAAGGCTACTTATAGGTGCGAAGGCTGGTGTAGGAAAACCCTAACGCGCGTGATAAGAGGAAATTTCTATTGGGTCCTCATATTTTTGGGTGGCTTCGGTAAGTGGCAAAGAATATTGTACCAAATCGTTTTTTAATGTTTTAAGGAAATAGATAGTAGATTCACGAAAAGCAAAATATATTGAGCTTATATATCATGCAAATTTCGAAATCAACAAACAGTATATTATGGATTATGAATCACAGGTTTCTCTCCCCCAGTAATATTTTACACTGACAATGAAATCAATCGATCTATGTAGTAGACAATATGTAATAGTATAAACCGTATATCATCTCTTCTTTTCAAAAGGTGTATAATAGTATTAAGTTAAAAACAAATAAATAAATCAGAAAATAATTGTGAGACATTTGTAATAATGTTTTGCAACTAAACTAATCTGCTTCAGTTTCATCTTGGCAACATTTTCAGCCTTCTGGAACCAAGAATCCTTGCCTTCTTCCGTCAGCATAGTGCTCTCTTCAATTCCATGAGCCGGGTTTATGTGTATTTTCAATATCTGCGATGGTACGACTTGGTAGTATAAAACTTCCGTTGTTTGACGTGTGCAAATGAGCATTTTATGGTTTACTCTGATCTCTTCCTCGATCATTCCGAATCCTGATGAATTTAGGGTTGTGTTTGAGTTGTCGTTGTCTTCTACTCGGTTCTCAAACGAGAAAAAATCATCGATCTCTATGTTGTTGATTGTATTGGTCCGAGATCCACCTGCAGTAATATAATGATAATGATTAATATACACTTATGATCTCTATATACTCAACATTTATATATGGTTTCAATTGTGAAATTTGAGTTCATATATCATACCCACCATAAAATTCAAGTTCTTGATCATTATCCTCGAAACTTGGCAAAATCTCTTCTTCTTCTATAAAACTCTGTTAAAAGAGAAAAAATGATGTTATATTAGGCAATCAACATGTAATATAAATGACTAAGAAATTATGTTTAAGTAATGATTATGATATATATTATAATAACTACCTGTTTTAAATTTTCGTTAGACATTCTCATCCATGTCGAGTCTCCAGCATTGAGAAATTGTTCATCGAGATTTCCAATGTTTATCAAATGATCATCAACGTTGCTGTTATAGTGCTGGGTGGAGTTACTTGTTGCGAAAGTAAAGTCGTTGAAACCGCATTGACCGCTGTTTTGATTCATTCCATTGGAGAAATCGCTGGTTTGAACCGGCGAGTTTTCTACTCGCAATGGTGGCAATGACATTTGATGTTGCAACATGTCACATTCAATTTCTATATTCACCTAAATATATATATATAGACAACGTTAGATATATAAGTGATCCAAAACCCTTGATTCAATATAAGCTCTCTCTAAAATTATATTAACTAAGGTTACCTTTGGTTGAGTGAGGTACGGTCCATAAGAGGATCCATAATTTGAAAAGCTTGTAGGTATGTCTTGTGACAAGTATTGCGACCAGTCATCATGATCACCCATTGCGTTTGCGTTTCCAAATCGCGGTTGAGTATCGGTAGCGTTATTATAAGGCTGAACTTGATGTGTATTTGAACTTATTTCAAGATCTGAACAAACGTCAAAACTTGAGTTACCACTTATATTGGAGCTCGTGTGGACGTAAGGCTGACGATGCTGCTGAAGTTGGTCTCTTGGTTTCGCTTCAACGATTATCTTCTTAAAAACGCGGCAAAGTGCATATGCATCCTGAAATTACAACATCAATTATTAACGTTCTTCTAATAGACTAATACTAATATACTATATACTACAAATTGTCATATGTTATATGCGGAAATAAATGATTGGTTTGGTTTGGTTAGTAAACCTGCATGCCAAACGCAGTAGGCTCGCATTCGGTTTCATCGAGGCGATATTCATGCATGACCCAACCGGTCCTAATACCATGTGGGGCGCGACCACGATAATAGACTAATGTTTTCTTGGTTCCTATGGCTCGGTCTCTCCAACTCACCCGCCGGTCTTTGCCCGTGGCTTTCCAATAACCACCTTTTGTTGCCCGGTTTGTTCTTGAGCCATTTGGGTACTTTCTGTCCCTTGGGCTGAAGAAGTACCACTCTTGGTCTTTGCTAGGAAGCAATGATTTTCCTGCAAAAATTCATATACATATTAATTTCTTCTTATGATTTTGTTATTGATCTGTTCTGTAACAAAATATTATTATAAACCATAACATAAAAGGTGTGATTGTCTATGAGAGTTTTTGACCAAAAAGCAGTCATATTCGGTTGCGTCTGCTTTAATCAATCCTAGTATCCTACTAAAGTAGTACTATGATGAGATAATCGTTATTTCTAGTTACTCTTTTGCATCTAAACCGATAATTCAATCCAAATTGAGTTCTAAGAAATTAGATCTAATGTCTGAATTGATTCTGTGAAATAGATTCTGTGATTTTTTATAACCTAAAGACTAACACTCATGGTTTAATGTTTTTTTTTTTAAATATTGCGTTTTCGTGGAAAAATAATTGAAGATGTTTAAAATATATCTGAATATGAATCAGGATTGAAACAGAAACGCAAACCCAAACCGCTGCACACTAAAATTTATTTCATTCTGGTTGTTCTTCGAAATGGAAAAAAAAACAAAACAAAAAACAAAAACTTGGATGGGACACTTACAAGTACAAAGTGTAAATTGAACAATTGTAATTTCACTCTTAGTTTTGCATTAATTGTTATGTTGTACATATAACACAACAGGAAACGTATAGACGTATTAACTTTGGTCAATGTTAACGTATATTATGGTTTTCTTGTCGTTGTGATATTCTTATTCTTTTCTTCATTCTATCTCCTGAACCTACGCTCAAGACCTATTCAACTCTTAGACCAAAAAGGTATCGTACCAGATGGTTATGTATCAATAGATTGATATGTTTAGTGCATTATAACAATTATTACCTGGCAAGTCCCATGGCTCACACTTGTAGAGGTCTACTTCAGGGATAATCTCTAGCTCGATCTCACGACCGTTGATCTTTCTTTTGAGATAGTAGGTGATTAGTTCTTCATCCGTTGGATGGAACCTAAAACCAGGAGGCAACGAGACTGGAGCCATGTATATATTCTCTGATTAAAAATGATATAGGACCTTCTCGATCAACTCAATATTTGATTATATAGAAACAAAAAAAAAGAAAATTAACGAACGGTCTTGTTAAGAGAGAAAACTCTAACAAGACCGATCGAAATATGATTGATTGATTGAGTAGTAGAGGCTCGAGAGAAGGAGACAATGATTTGGAAGACTAAAGAGAAAGAAACAAGAGAGAGAAGACAAATGCTTTGTGTTATTGAGGGCTTGAGGGGTATAGGATTATATATAAAGAGGAGAAAGACAAATTTTCATAAAAATAATGGCAGAAAAGTGAATTAATTAAAGGGAGAGTATGCCACCCTCATGGAACTAATAATATAAAATTGCAAAAAGTATCCAATTGGTCCTGTCTTTTTCTCCTCTTTTTGTTTTTTCTTACACATATTCTAATTCTATCCATCGTTCTCTTCAAGTTTGATAGAGAAGATGAAAGAAACGAAGAGGCTTTTGTTATTAACTCACAATCGATCGGTTCATAGTATTTAATTACATAAGCAGATATAATTAAGTTGCCGATGAAAACTTAATTACAGTTCCTGTATTCATCTGTAAAGTTTTAAATATGTAGATTTAAAATTTGTAACAGTGATGTTCTAAGAAAAAATGATGAATGTTTTTATTTTGGTTTTGACGTTAAGAAAAAATGATAAAAGTTTATTACCGATACATAAACATGTCATTTTAAAATAGGCATAAATAATCAAACTTGGTATACCATAATACAAAAAACGTATTTCTTCATCAGAGTGGTCTCCTAAAGTATTCCATCCTTCTCCATGTATGGTCGGTTTGGAATGTGTCCATGTGGCAGGATATCATTGGCTGCATGGGGAAACGAATCTTGGGATAACCAATAGAAACTGGTTTCAGATCTTTATGTTTGACGGCGCTTCTAACTGAAATAAACTGTCTCCTTTAATTTGTTGTATCTCCACTTGCGAATCCTTTAATTAGTAACTTCGTGATTGCCGCCGATCAATATACCAACTCTATAACCTTTTTTTGTTTTTCCAAAAGAAGTGGAGGAATTGATCTCGTGTCTCGTTTTCTTAATCACAGGCGCAAGTATTTAAAAACACATCACATTGATTTAGTATTTTTTAACGACAATTTCTTGTTCATTTAGCTCTTGTGATCTCAGATGTATGATTATCATTATTAGTGTCTAGTTTGGCCAAATTATTTAGAAAACATTTCGTACCTCCACGAGAAAGCTTGTCATCCTCATTGCCTTGCCAGATTACCGATCCTATGATATTTTTTTTGGTCAATTGGATTGGTTACAGCTATAAATTCATATATAGTTTTAATACTTCCCACAAACTATACATTTATCGTTTCACTGTCAAAGTACTGATCACACCAAAAGAGAACGAGACACAAGCTCGTTCGTTTATGAGCATGTAACATCCAAATGAGAATGATACACACTATAGTGATATAGATAGACATATATAAGATGGACATACATGGATTATGGACAGACAAAATTTACAACATCGTATAAAAAGTCTTGAAAGGTAAAGAGATGAACAAGGTGATGGGGTCCACATGGTAGAACATGTGGGTCCAACTTGGGATCATGTGAAAAAATCCTTGGAGGCGTTGATGGGCCAACCCCAGCATCACTTCTCAGCTTTTCTCATCATCAACATCAACTTTTCTGTCATTATTCCCTTCAAATTCCATATTCCAGATCTATATCCAATTAAAAATTTATATATACACACATCTGTTAGCATAAGCATCTAACATATATACATAACAATTTGTACATACCCTTCTTTACACTTTTCCCTCACATGAATCCATCTTTTTGTTCTTTACTTATTCATTTCTCGCTTTCACACACATCTATAAATTAATCATAGATTTGTTCCAATATGTTATAGTATATCAACATTTCTTTGTAGCGTATTCAATATCATCAATATGTGTCTCGACGCCCTTTCCAAAACTAAGCTAAAACTAAGCAATGTTTGCCCATTGGGCCTGGTGACTAGTAAGCTAACACTTTGCTCAGATAAAGTTTCGTTTAACAGCTTCAACAAAAGTAACTTAGACGCTGTCTATTTATAGATCTTATTATAGTATTAGGAATTTGGAGTAATAATGGAACAAAATCTTCAAGCTAGTGAATTGATAGAGTTGATCTCTATAAGAGACCAACCCTCCAAAAATAAGCGTATGCCGATTAGCACGACAAGCACACGGTATTCTTTAGTAAAAGGCGAAAGAATAGTTCGCTATTGTGCTTATCGCACGGCTCCGTAACTTCTCAGGACAAAAGGCTCTGTCCTTGTTATGTATGTCTCTACTTCCTCGTTGCCTTGCTCTGTATTTTACGATGTGGGACATATTTAACTATTCAAAAACGACGTCGTTTATGATCACATTACACTTAACCACAATAAACCTCTCAAAACCTCTTTTGTTCCCTCCTTCATTGACGTCGTTTCCTCCAGAACACACTAACTAACAACCATGGTCGACGGCGAAATTGGAATCCTACGCGGTTACGAGCTCCGTCTCCTCCGTTGCACAGTATCTTTACCTACTTCAGACCCTCCTCCCGAAACCCATCTGCTTGATGAATCCCAATCTGGAACCCATCAACACGACTCTCTCATAAGGTCCCTTCTCTCTTCAATTGAGGCTGGAGACTATCTTGGAGCCCTAGCCTCCGATGCTACTAGGCTAATACTCGGCGATTCTGAGTTGGACCTGGTCGACTCGGTTGATTCCGCGGAACGAGTTTACTCCGAGCTTCTCGACAAGGTCGAATCGTTCGTGGTGAACGCTTCGTATGATGAAATCGACAAAGCTCGTCGTGCTGTTCTGGTCATGTGCTTTGCAATCGCGGCTGCCCTCTGGTTCACTCGTTGCAATTTGACCGGGTAAATTTGTGAACTTCAGTGTTAGAAATCTGGATTCTTTTTTACAATAAATGATAAAAGAATCGATTTTTTTTTTTGGAAATTTCAAAACTTTAATGAGCCTTTTTCTTCTTCTTTTCAACTGTTAGGCCGACTGAACAATCAACGAAATGTTCGTTTCCGTTTGTAGTATCAGAAAGTAAGGAATTAGTTGAATGGGAGAACTGGGCAAAGATTCAGCTCATGTCTGCAGGCTCTGATTTGCTCGGGAAGTTTTCTAATCTCCAGGTACTTTATTTCTTCTGCTTATTCGATTTTTCTAGTCTACAATTGTGTACTTGCATATAATATATTCGTGATGTATTTGAGTTTATGAAGGAATTGGATTATTTGTCATTTGGTGTTTGTAGGAAGTTGTTATCTTTAAGAGGAATAAACCAAATGCCTTGTGCTTTAGATTTATTTAGACACACTTGTTGCTTCTTGCGTGTTTTATAAATCGTATAAACTTGGTCTTTCCTGCTATTTGTTAGAGCAATGTACGTCTAGGAAGTAGTCTTTATCTTTGTTTGTAGTGAACTCTACGTAACCCAGCCTACTTTTTTATTCCCTGCAGCACTTAGTGTTTGCTAGAATGCTGCTGCTAAAGTTGAAAGATTTGTTGTTTGAGACAACTGCAACTGAAACATTTGAATTAAGGAGTATTTCATGGTGGCTTGTTAGAGTTTTACTCATTCATCAAAGAGTTCTACACGAGCGATCTTCGTCTTTGTTTGATATGGTGCAAGTTTATATGGCTGAAGCTCTAGACCATTTTGGAGCATTGGAAAAAGTTGAAAGCTATTGGCCTGCAAAGTTGCTACAAGACGAAGTTTCATCCATAACGTCAACCATCCATCTGGAAGCATGTGTGTTGCAATGCATATATGGAAGGATTGATCCCTCTCGGTAAGTTATCGTTGAGACCGTATTGTCCTTGCCTACTTCTTACATGTAAATAGGTTATTACGGCAGGACATTAACCAAAATACTTTGCTTGTGGTTTCCTTTTGAAAAAACAAGAAAAGGTTTTTGACATCAGTGACCAATGTAGTTAGAAATTTGAACTTGTAACTTGCATATATATAGTTGATGCTGCTCTAGTTTCTGATAGCCATCACGATATATTGTGACAGTTTTATCTACTCTACTGCTATAGTATATTGGTCATGATCCGGAGTAAAATTTTCAGGTTACAGCTTGAATCTGCTAAAGCAGCAGCAAAGCTCGAGTTCTCTGTTAGTGGGGCTCTTGGATTTCGTACTATTCACCAAGTAAGCTATGGGAATTTTTTTTTTTTTTTTTTGGCTATATGTATTCGGCTTTGTTATTCTGAATACCTCTGATCTTGTTATAGGTAGACCCAAAGGCACAAATGGTATTGATAGCGAATACTAGCTCATCCAATGGGGACGTGAGGCTGGCCTCGGAAAAAGCTGATGTTGGCCCTTATGAAGCTTGGGGAGGTGAAGCACCTGAAGTATATATGACTCCCAAACTAGTGAGCGATGAGAGTGAACCTGGCAAAGATTCTGCGCCCTTAAAACCAGTCGAACAGGCAATGATTTTGGCTCAGTGCCTTTTAATTGAAAGGGGTAGTCGGCACGATGAGATGCAAAGTAAGTAAACCCAAATACAAGTGGTTTTGAAACGTTTAATGTTAATGCTATGTAGAGAGCTCTGATGCAAAGACGGAGGTAAGAATATTAGCAATTCTGCTAGTAAACTAACTAAGTTACCAGGCATTAGCTGTAACTGCAATTCAAATACGTGAAGATGTTTGATCGTACTTCTGTGTCGTCTAGTTGTGCTCACCTGTGGTGAACTGAAGTAAACTATGCCCTTTAGTTTAATTTGAATATCTAATTTTTTTTTCCTGCAGGATGGGATATGGCTCCATATATAGAGGCTATTGATTCTCAAAAGTCAACATATTTTGCTGTAAGCTACAATCTTTTTAGTTATTCAGTTATTTCAAAGTGACTAGTTTTAAAATGTTGATGTATGGAGCTGTTGGCTTTCATTTCGTCACAACTCATTGAAGTGAAACAAACTGACTGACTTTTGTTCTTCCACATGCTATTAGTTACGGTGTTTCTGTGACTTACTACGAGTTCGATGGGAATCAACTCGGGGTCGTACAAAGGGACGCGCCCTGGAGATGATGGATAAATTGGTATGTGGGTACTCTGTAAAGAGCTCGTATTATCAAATTAGTTTATTTTTCTTTTTAAGTTGTATTTCTCCCTGGCTGAAACACCCCTTTGGTAGGATTGTTTCATTCTGTTCATTAGTGTTGCTGTGATAATTGTCCTTTATTAGGTTGACGCTATTAACAAGAGTGAGCCTGGAGCATCAAAAAGGATCCCTTTATCTTATGCAGTCCATCTTCCTACTATTCCTGCTTTGAGAAAGTAAGTTATCTTCTTTTGTGCATGTTTTAGAAATCTCTATTGGGTTTCCTCCTGCCTTATTCATTGTTCCGTTTTGATTCTAACAAAAGGGAATACGGTGAGCTTCTGGTGAGCTGCGGTTTGGTTGGGGAAGCAATTACAATATTTGAGAGCCTGGAGTTGTGGGATAATCTAATTTACTGCTACTGGTAAACTAAAAACTTGAATACTGCTTTTGTGTTGAATTTAACTTCACTTTGTTTTTTTCCTTTTCCCTTTATGGCATTTTTGTTCTGTTGCGAACCTTATTACGCAATGTGAAATTTCAGCCTTCTGGGAAAGAAATCAGCGGCTGTAGATCTCATCAATGCGCGGCTTTCTGAACGGCCAAATGACCCAAGACTATGGTATATTTAAATCTTTTGAGTCTGAGTTTTCCTCCTGTTGTTTGGATATCGTAATTACCTGTCTTTAACCTGAACTTAATATTTCTTTAATATTTGTTCCAGGTGTTCACTTGGTGATGTTACGATTAATGATTCCTGCTATGAAAAAGCCCTGGAAGTTTCAAATGATAAGTCAGTTCGTGCTAAGGTAGTTTAAGACACATAGTAGAAAAATCTTATATATCCTCTCTCAGTACACGCTCTAATTATTTTTCCAACTTGTAGCGGGCTCTTGCTCGTAGCGCATACAATCGCGGTGATTTTGAGAAGTCGAAGATGCTGTGGTATGTTAAACAATTTGGTTCTATTTTTTTTTTTTCCTTTCTAAAGAGGAAATGGAGTTATGAACTTAACCCTTCAGGCTGATTTAATTGTGAGATGTCTCATTTTATCTCCTACTTCAGGGAGGCTGCGATGGCCTTGAATTCTCTGTACCCGGATGGTTGGTTTGCTCTTGGTGCTGCTGCATTGAAGGTACCATCAAACTCCATCTTCTCCAATAGTTCAGTAGCAATATGATTCCATTCCAAATGTCAATAGATAAACAACATAGAATTTCTTGTCATGCTGGCTGAGAGGGATACTAATGTATAATCTCCTACATTATACATAGGCCAGGGATGTTCAGAAAGCTCTCGATGCATTCACTTTTGCTGTTCAACTTGATCCCGACAATGGAGAGGCTTGGAACAACATTGCTTGTCTGTAAGCACTTCAGTTTCACTATTATGCTCTGTTTAGGCTCACGCATGCCTTACTATTTAACTTCACGGCCCATTACTTACCTACTTTCACTTACACGTATATTATGGATGTTGCTGAATGCGTACTAATTTATGGGGACAGGCATATGATTAAGAAGAAAAGCAAAGAATCATTCATTGCGTTCAAAGAAGCGCTTAAATTCAAGTATCTCTCTTTTCCTTGCCATTTCTAATATGAGTTAGGGAATTCATAGCATTAGTAATTTACAAACATCGTGTATCAACAGGCGAGATAGCTGGCAGATGTGGGAGAATTTTAGTCATGTAGCTATGGATGTGGGAAATATTGATCAGGTAAAATGCAGCTATTCTTAATATTTTTAAAACTCGGCGCTCGTATAAATAACTTATCTAGTAGTTCCCTGTATATCTGTTTCAATTTAGCCAAGGAGTTAATATAGTTGGTTTCATCTGCGTTTTGTTTTTCTTCCAGGCCTTTGAAGCTATACAACAGATACTGAAAATGAGCAAAAACAAGAGGATTGATGTTGTTTTATTGGACCGTATAATGACAGAGTTAGAAAATCGGAATTCAGATTGTACATCATCTTCATCGATTGAAATCAAAGCTTCTTCAGATGAATCAACAGAAACAAAACCGTGTGCTGCAACCCTAGCTGAAACTCAACGCCACCTAGAGTTGCTTGGGAAAATTATCCAGCAGGTTAGCGAAAACATTTCAACTATATGTATTGTCTCGTTCTCTGTGTGAGCGGATGCATTTGATATAGTTTTGTATAGTCCTTTATGCACTTTCTTGCCTGTCTTTTTATAGATTGTACGAACAGAAAGTACATCTGAAATCTGGGGTTTATATGCAAGATGGAGTAGAATAAAAGGAGATCTTATGGTATGCAGCGAGGCTCTGTTGAAACAAGTGCGATCATATCAGGTATTAATGAGTTATGAGTAATCGAAGACAGCCCTTTGATCTATGAGCAGCATTCTCAGTTCCATTTGATGACATTTTGATACCTGTTTTTCAGGGATCAGAAGTGTGGAAAGACAAAGAGCGTTTCAAGTTGTTTGCAAGAGCATCATTGGAACTTTGTAGAGTCTACATGGAGATCTCAATGTCCACAGGAAGCAGACGAGAACTCTTTAGTGCTGAGATGCATTTGAAGAACACAATCAAACAAGTATAAACCAAACTTATCATTAACTAACAATAACTGAGCATTATGATCAGAAGGAGCAGAGTCAATAACTGCGATATATGTGTGTGTAGGCTGCAGTGAGCTTCCCAGACGCTGAAGAGTTGATGGAGTTTGAAAGTTGCCTTGAGGAGGTGAGAAATGCTATGCAGAAGAATGAAGAGACTACAAATACAAAAACATGAAAGAAGAAAGACTTGTCACAGTCATCATCACAGTCATCATCATAGGTTAGTCTCTGATTTCTGTGTGTTGTAATAGTTATCATTTTCTTTGTTTGGGTCAAAGAAAATGTTGAAATGCTTCCGCGAAATGCTTCCGAGAAAATTTCTATTAAATTGACAAGGAAAATATGTCATGCCGTTTTTACTATTTGGTAGTTATAAATGCTTACCGTTTTTTTTTTTTTTTTTTTTGTCATCTGAATATTCATTTAAAACCCAAAGGACAAAGTTTGGTAACAACATATATCCAGCTAAAGCCCACATCATACACATGCAAACTAAAGATAATAACAAAGTAAAAACACAACACGTGTATAGGTGGAGAAAAGCATCGACCACGTGACAGTCCTAGAGAAGATCGGAAGCTTCAATTCATGCATATCGCCATCGCCGGGAATCTCACCGGAGATATCCGCCGTTGACAGGAATTCACGAAGCTTGTTGTCTGATTCACCACGAAGTTTATATCGTGCACTTATGTGTACCAAATTTTACATGCTCTTCCGATTAGATCCTGAGAAGTTCTTCAGCCATAAGTTTTTCTTTCTTCATAGTTCGACTCCGATCAGCCAAAATTCATACTTAAACGCCTTGAGGAAGGCTTCTGAAGAAGGGACTAAGGGAGATCTCTGCTCCCAAGCTATGAGCGGATGATACCAAAGCTTGAAGAAGAACAATACTTCCAACACAATCACCGGATCTGAAAGCATCGCCTCAATAAAAGAGGAACCATCAGCGGAAAAGATGGGCAAACTAATCCGGTCGAAGCCGGAAATTTTATTTTCCGATCAAGTCGGAACCGATATAGGCGAAAAAACTTCAATCATTTCGATTGGAAGTATGAGAGAAAAAATATTTTTACTCTGTGAAAGATATTAAATAGAGAACAGAGCAAGAATGAAAAAAACTATCGATATCGCCTCTCCAGTCGCCGTAAGGAGAGAGAAGAGAGCGCTTAAATTTGTGCTGTTTTGCTTTAAATCCATATATATGTCTTTGGTCGTCGTTTGGCTTCTGTTCTAGCAATGATAACATGACACGTGTTCTACCCATACCAAAAGTCGTAAGAGAAATCATTTTGGCACGAAATCGCACTAAAAAAAATATAGAAAAGAGAGGCCAAATCTTGTATCTGTGCGTATGGTCCTGTTGCATCACCGTCCTCATCTCCATCCTCGAATCTCGGTCGCCATATCGCCGGATTACAATCATCGCCAGACAAGCTTTGATGATGTGCTTTTGAGCATGAGATTTGGATTAACGCGAGTTCTTCCTCTGAAACGATCTTTCGCTTACTATTCCATCACTTCCGGATCTCGAGAACAACAGCCGAAATCGCCGATCACCATGGCGACCAAGAGCGGGGATCTTGTAGAAACTTCGACGGTGGAGACATGCAAGGGAGAGGAGGATAAGATGAAGGAGGTTAAGAAGGAGGAGGTTTCGCTCCCTCCGCCGCCGGAGAAACCAGAGCCTGGCGATTGTTGTGGTAACGGCTGCGTCCGATGCGTTTGGGATTTGTATTACGAGGAGCTCGAAGAATACAACACGCTTTCTAGTTCCATCTCTGGAGAAACTAAATCCAGCTGAATGATTTGCTTATTCTGAATTTTTTTTCTTTTTTCGCAAAAAGCTTGTTTGTACCGATTTGTTTGCTGGAAAAATTAAACACTGTATATGCTGATTTTTGAGAAGTTGAAGAAGATGCTGTGGTATGTTGATATAATATGCTAATAGAGATTTAAGTTTTCAGTAAAGGTTATGAACCAATCAAACATTTCTATTTTTCCTGTATTTCTGAGTTGTGCTTCTATCAGAAATGGAACAAAGTGCCTGTAGCAGTTTTATATAACAAATCGTTTATTCTTTTGGCTTCTAAGAACAAACGAATTTGATCAATTTCATCACCTGATCGACTGTAGCAGCAGAACCTTACTCTACCGTTGAGGAGTTCTCACAAGAACAGAGATATGGAGATAGAATTCTGGGTTCATCAAGTTATTTACCACCCACGAAAACGGAGTCTCTAGTTTCATTTCAATCCCTTGAATCCTCACCAATTTGATTTCTCCCGTCATTGGCGAGCCATCTTTTTCTTCTGATCCATCCTTGGTTCGTTTTTCACCCTCTTCTTCACTCGTTTGAGCTCTGTCTCCAATGTACTCCGGGAGGAGACTTTCAACGGCGTCGCGTAAGGTAAAACATTTCCCTGTTTACATACTGGAACTAATCAGTTATCTCACACATGATAAGATTCAAGAACAGTTGTATTCACTCTATACAGAAACTTTGGCTCTCTTTTCAACTCAGATAAAAAAAAAAAGAACAATGCGGATCTTTAAGATGATATTGCTACCTTCTTCTCTGAGGAACTCAACAGGGCGATTTAGGTACGAGATCTCATCCCATGTATCGATCTCAGGTGTATCTTCAAGATTCTCGAAATCTTGATTTATACTTCGAACATACAACCGAACAGGGATTCTTGCTGAAGAAAAAAGGATTATCAAGAGTCAGGAAAAAGGTGATTGCACCAGAAAAATTTGGACACTATTACTTTTGTATCATGTTAGCCAACACTGAAATAGGTGCACCAATTTGTGAGCATAATTCTTTTCATTTAAGTTGTTGCTGTTTAGAAGATTTATTAGAAGAGTGAAAACTACTATTTTACTGCCACTGTTTATAACTAGGTCCTTTGCACAAAAGTGTGTCACCTCAAATTGAATTTAAATCATCTTGTGAACAGAATGTGGGAAAAAAATTTACATAAATTTGCAGCTGAATAAATAGTTGGCAAACCTGTCTTAACTTGTCCAGCCACATCCATCTCAGCACCACCTTGTCGAGATTGTGGAGAAGACAAACTTGTTTTCCTTGAAAACTCATCTTCGATAGTTCCCATTTTAAGCTTGGGTGATAATCTTGTGTAGGCATCAAGGTCACCTGCCAAACCATTAGTTTTCAGAACTCGATACTAATTCAATCATGGATATATGCAAAGGCTAAACAATGGTTGATGCAGAAAGTGACATTTGACAATGCTGAACGCAAAAGCTACATTAGTGGCGATTAGAGTTATGACCAGAAGTATTGCTGTAGCAAGAATGATACTGGCTACGCGATTATTAGATATGCTTAACACCGACCAATCGTACCGTTCATGACAGAGGTCCACAGATCCTCTTGATCGCTCTGAGACATATTCATAACATTCTTGCAATTTCCATTGATGATATATGCCGCCTACGGAATAACATTATTTCAAGCAAGTAAGAACTTCTAATCAAATACAGTTGTCTTACTTAGGATCAGGAGTAGAGCATTGTTAAAATAGCACAGAGGAGAAGACTACGACTATTCCACTAAGGAATGACCAATCAATTGCGGCAAAAAAATCAAATTGGTAAAAATACCATTCGCCGTCATTACCAGCTACACCTACACAGTCTATGAAATTTCATAACCCTCAGAACTGAATATAGGGAAATTGTGTTCATGATGATTGACAGAGATGTGAGCTGTATTTTCTTAACTTGACAATACATCAAGATGTGGAAGAACTTGTACAAAAAGAGCAGCTCTTGTGAGATTAGCAAATATTTTACTGCCACTAATGTGAAATTTAATGAAACAGTATGCAGTGTCTCTTTGGAAAGGAATTAATCTAAAGCATAGACGTTCCCACTTAAGATGACAAAAAAATCATAAACTTTCCAGAAACTTTCACTAACCTCTTTCAAAGAATTAACAAAGTTCCACTTGACAGAATCTTCTCCTTCACATGGTATCAGTATGTTGCTAGGATATCCTCTAAAGTGTATCTGCAAATAAAAAAGTTTCTGAAAAGCTCAAGAACTGCAAAGATAAAAATAGGTTTTCGTGCAACCTAATAAAAGTGTTCAATTTTCAGCTTAATACATCCACTAAGCTCATCTCTCAAAGCAAAAGAAGCTGATGAACTTCAGAGAAGGAAAAAACTACCGTGAGATTCCAAGGTCTTTCTGGTTCTGCGCATAGGAGATCGAAAAGAACGCCTGTTGGTATATACCTACACACCAAAGAAGATTCAACTAGTGTCAGGTAAAAATATTACAAAAGAGAGATAGTTGTTCCCATTATATACTAAGAGATGAACAATGGCTTACCATTTCAGAGGAAATCCTTTGTAATCAAACCAGATGGAATCTTCCCCAGGAGGAAGTGAATCCTTGAAATAAGGCTTTATAAGAGAAACTAATAGAGGCAAATATCCTATTCTTGGTGCTAACACCTGAAAATGCGAGTGATTAAAACAATATACTCGTATGATTTTTTTATTATCTCGAGCTTAACATTCTTGCTACACGATTCAGTCCGTCAAATCCAATCCCCAAAGCAATTGCTAACTTATTCCTCAGTTTTCATGCACTCAAACAAATTGATAATAAAATCAAATGATTCAAAGCCAAAAACTCGATGCAAAAATCCTAAAACACGAATTCGATCATGATCCAACACTAAGCACTAGAGAGTTTTTCACCCATCGATCGGAAAATTAAAAAAAAAAAAAGCTCGGGTTTCGAGAAGAAGAAGAAGAAGAGTGGATTACAAGAGCAGGAGGAGGAGCAGGGTGAGAAGCAACTTCGGATTTGTGGAGATGAATCTGCAGAGGAATTGCTCCTTCCCATACAAACTTGACCGCTTCATTCGCCATTCTCTTCTCTCCTACGGTTCTTCCGTCACAGCTTCAGGGCTTGATCAAACCTCCGTTTCCAAAACGACGTTGTTTCGTTATTGTGACGTCAGATTCTCTTGCTTTTGCGTATACATACACTATACAGTAATCCGGCGTACGTTAAGAGTAGTACCTAGCATGTTACTGGCTAACGTGATCCGAACCAAGTCCGGGATAGATTTATGTGAATAGGTGTATAATCGGTCTATTCTGGTTTGGTAAGTATTGGTCCAGAGTCCAGACTACAGCTGAGTATAGCAAACAAAATCCGGAATAATGAATTTTCCGCGGAATTCCATTAAATTTTTGACCAAAATATAAGCTGGCCTCAGGTTCACTCCAAAATTAATTAATAACTAAAAAAGTTAAGGAAAGAGCGTCCCAATTTTCTAGGATCCGAACAGAACCAAAGCCGACCTGGACCGGATAAAACCAGCTTCAATCACGTATTGAGAAACATAGGTGTTCAATTTGGGGTTGGGTCAGTTTTTATTTGAGTATTTTAGTTTTTCAAAAGTATAACCAAATCTAGTATACATTGGTTTTGTAGGGTTTTATTTTCGGTTTGGATCCGGTTTCTATGACTTTCTACTAGTTTAATTCGGACTTGGTTTCGATTTTGATTTTGTTCCTTTTTTCATACAGAGGCAACAAAACAAATGATAACAGAATTAAAATTTGGTTTGGTTTTCAAACCGGTTCAATTATCTGGTTGAACACCACCGTTAAGGTTAGCTACTGTTGTTCTATTTCTTCAGTTGTTGGTAATAATAACATCACCAATTTCGTCTTCGCCTTCAAGCTGAAGGAGACTCTTCACCTAACCAATTGAATCCTGAAATTGCTTGTAAACGAACTTCCTTTTGTTGAACACATCAACAAAGATCTCATAATCACTAGATATCTTTTAAAAACAAAAAATTGTACAAGAGTATTACAGTTACAAATGTTGAAGTTTAGCCTAAACAACAAACAGCTCGAAGAAAACAATGAAATCAAGAAAAAGAAAAAGAAAACTAATACTTTGATGAACATTTAGAAGTTGAATGAATATTGAATTTAAAGACCTTTCTTTTGGGGGGTACCTGAGAAATGTCCTAGTTATAAGTGCAGGCGAATCTCTTGTTGTTCTTGTTCTTGTCCTTCTTCTATAACCATCTTTCTCTTCTTGTACGGACCAAATCCTCTTGAATTTGACTCAGAGTTTGTTCTTCTGAGCTCAGAAAATGCAGACCTCTCGCTAGGTTTAAATTCCCATTGACATACCATTGTTTCGGGTTCTGAGTTCTTGTCCGTATGTCCTGTATCATCCACCGAACCAGTGTTTGATCCAGTCGATGATCCTTCATTTTGGACAGCCTTCCCTGAATCTACTAAACATCTGTTTTCCACTTCTTCTTCTTTTTGTGGGTTTATAATCATGGGGAATGTTTCGGATCGGGAGAGTTTCCGTGGTAATGGCTGAATAGGAGATTTACAACAAGTTGAAGTTGTTAGAGAAGACGACATGCCTGAATCAGATACCAAAACTGTCTTCCCAAATAGTTTAAGGCTTTGCTTAGTCGGTTCCTTGACCAAGCTCTCTCTGTATAAGAGTCTCTCTCTTGGAAACAACTCCAGCTTCTGTACATATTGATCAAACAAAGGTCATTAGAAACTAAGCCTCTAAGGACGGGTATTGTTGTCATATCGAAAGAGTTTTTGTTTTTGTCAACTACCAGAGTCTCAAGCTCTTCAGGTGCATTTGCAGTGGTTGTAAGAGCAGCTGGAGGTGATGCAGAAGAAACCGGGGACAAGCTTCGATCGGGTGAATTCGAATCAGAGGAACCCAAGGCTTCTGATCCAACAGTGGACAAGACAGAGGTTGGAGATCGGTTGTCTCGTTCTGAAGGAGAAACCGATCTACTTGTTTGATCTGCCTCGTTCCCAAACTTACGTGGGTAAGGATGCATTGGTTTTCTCTTGGGACGAGGAGGCGGTATCACAATTGGCTCCAGCGAGCTCCCATTACCTCCAGTTGCTTCTCGAGCAACCTGTGTGATACAACAGAACAGAGCTAAGTCAGTACATAAGTCTCCACACAAGTGTACGCACTTGTTTAAGCAGCTCTTGGTACTTTCTGTGAACAAGGGATAAGATATCATGGCAAAAAAGTGTATAGACCTTAGAGAAAAACTTCTGAGCATGGCTTCGAATCTGAACAGCAGTCTTTGTACCCACATGTTCTGTTAGTGAAACAAAACATATGTTCGATGGTTCAGGTTTGTATATAGACCATACATAACTCGGTAGCAAGTGGAGATACTATTAGATCATTAATATTTTACCTTCTATTCGTCTCCATGCTCGTCCGTATAGTTTCAAGGCTTCAACAAACTTGTTATGCTCTTCATCTGTCCATCTCTCTCTTTCTTTTGTTATCGTGTATGGTTTTCGTGCCTAAAAAGGAAAGATGAATTGAGCAAAAGATCTTCGCTTTACATAACAACATTGACACATTAGATGCTAGAGAAGCAAAACCTTGGGTGCATAGTCATTTCCCTCAAAAACTTGTTCATTGAATTGTATCTGCTTGTCTCCAGTTTCCTCAACTCTATTCCTCGAAGGAGTTTTGGTAGCCTGAGACCATCACCAAGCAAAAACGCTTTTAGGAAACATCATCTTATTTTCTTACAACATATACGCAGAAAGTGGAATTAGATCATCTACTTTCTGGTCAGTGTACATTCATTCAAATAAACTACAAACACCGATTCGCTTGCCTACACATGAACACTTCTTAACAAACCAAACCCAAACACAATCGATTCCATATCAAGGATTCACAAAAATGTAGTTGCAAACACAAATTTAGAGAGAACGCATAGCTCAGAAGAAACAAGAGTCTGCAAATGAATTACTATACTCAGGTAACGAACAGGCTAAACTCTATTTTGACTCTATCTTAAATGTTCTTCTACACTATTTCAAACTCATAGATTGATTACCCAATCTGAAAAGATACAGTGATAAATGAACTACGAAAAGGTTTGAGTCCAGACCTGAACATTTGCAGTCAACGAAGACGACACCATAGCTTCCCGAGTTAAGATCTCGCCGGAGGGGAAAAAAAACTTGAAGGTGTGGATCGGGAAAAAAAAGGAAAAGCAAACTAAAGATGTTAAATTCGCGAATCTGGACTTCGAATCAGCTTAATATCTTCCTTTCTCCGTCCGTTTCTATAGATCCCAGAAAATGATTTGATTCCTCTCTGCTCCAGTTAGAAAAAGACAAACGATTTGCTTCTGAAATTAGGAACAATCTATAACCTTCCGGAAAATTTCCAGCAAACCGGAGATTTTTGGGGTTATATAGAAGGGAAACAGAAAAACTCTCGCTGTAAATCTTGGCGCAGAGAAAAAAGAAGATGTAATGTTGGAAATGAAACTCTCAGAAAACTATGATCGCCGGAGTTAAAAAAAAGAGGCTTTGACGGTCCTGATTCGCCGGAAGAAGGAAGGAGCTGTTTGGGGAAGAAAGCTAAGAGAGAGAGAAGAAGAAGAAGAAAGGGAAGTGTTTGGGGTCTGTGGAGGAAAGAAATTGGGGTGAGAAAATAGGAAGACAGAAGAGGGGATGCCACGTCAGCATCTAGTATGTGCGCTTTTACAATTTTCATTTTTTCTTTATTTTTTGCCAATATATTATTGGTTTTCCATGGAGGCTCGAGAAACAGATGAAATCTTGTGGCTCGCGTTCAAAGACCCCATTGACACGTGTCGCTCGTGCGCTTAGTCACTTTCCAATTTTTTTCCTTCTTTAAATAGTGGATTTATCGTTGTCTTTACTAACAAATAACATATAGCATATTAATTTATTTTCTTTTGAAATATATCACATTAAAATGAATGAATCTATTTGTTTTGGTTAGACTTGATGGGGAAATAGAAGAGGATACAGTAGTAAGATTTGGTTGACGTTTGCTTTTGTATATTTTGATTTGTTTTCATCTATATTTTGTATACTCGAATTATGGAAAATAATGAGGGAGTATTTTAATTTTTATGTAAGGGAAAAATGGATTTTGCTGGCGGAGAAATGTGAGCCACCAGAAGATACTTACTTAATTGGATAAATACGAGGCCTACTCGCGAGGGTATAATATTTTATCCTTACTCGCTATTATCTCGCTTCGTCATATGCATTGGTTTCATTCAACTTCAACAGCTATTTTTTTTATGGGATAACACAATTTATCTTCTTGAGAAATAAATAAATTATAAAAAAAACTTCTTTGAACAAAATAAATAAATAAATAAACTTCAGAACTATCACCTAAAAGATTTTACACAAACAGGAGTGTTTTTTTATTTATCGAAACATATTTCATTACTATTAGCTTGACTGATAGACTGAGAGCTTAGAGTTACAAACTTACAATAAACAAATTTTAACTAATTTTAAATTATCCATTTGATATTTGCACGGACCTCTGAATGATTTACAACGATCATGATTTCAAATGGAACATAAGCGAAAATCCAAAATCAAATAAACTACAAGCAATATGAGATATTTGTCTTTTATTTCGTTTTGTCGTTTTTCTTTGTACTGAATAAACAGAAAAAAACGAAAATATTAAGTTAAATATCTTCTGCCTCTTAAAAAAAACCTGGTGTGTGTCGCTCCATTACGTACGAAGGCCTAGATAAAATACAGACCATATACAGATATTTTTAATTGTTCTCAACTTTCTCGTGTTAAATTTTTTTATCAATCGTGTAGATAATTTATTGTGTCATTCGTTAAGTAGATATGATAGGAACAAATTATTAATTGTATATAAATCATTACCAGGTGGAAGTGAAAGTTATATTTGAGTGCACTTTTGTCCATGTCACTGATTCTTACATTAGCCGTCTGTTCTACAGGAAACAGACACGTGGAAGGAAATAAAGGAGGGTTCTAGGCCACTCATTTTTTTTTATGCTTTTGCTTTTTATTTATTTATTTACTTAGGTTCACTAATTATTGATATTATACAAAATTTCTTAGCCACATATTTTCCTTCTCGTTTTGCCTTAGCCTAGAGTTTCAAAGAGGAGCAAGTGGTTGGTGTGTGACTGTTGTCTACCTAAAGCATTTTTTGTTTTTTTTTTCTCTGGTTTCTACTAAAGTGATTTCCTATTGCCATATTTTCCGATTGCAATAAAATTCATCTTGTAGTGGTAACTATATTCATCTAATATGACAATCATCACTGAGAAGAAAATCCAATTTTTTTATGAAAGGATGAGATAATCGAGTACCGTGATTTGTATTGGCAGGGGAACTGTAAAAACAAAGCAGTGATTTCCATATGTTCACAAATGTTAAGCAATTAAAGGGCGTAAGAAAAATTAAAGCTTACAATAAAATTCAAAAGCTTTAACCAAAAAAATAATAATTAAAAAACATTATAGATAATAATAATTCAAAGGAGTTAGTATCAGTATGAAGGCAGAGCAAAAAGACTAGTCCTTGAGAAGTTTCTAAGAGCATGTACATCAGTGAACTCCTAAGAAAAGAGTTCACTAAAATATAATAACATTTTTTTTTTTAGTTTTGTTTTTTTTTTTAATTCGAATATTATAATTTTTGACCAATCAGAATGCTTCATTTTGGGATGATACCGTCTCTTCAAGTTCGTCGGGATGATACTGTCTCTTTAATATTAAGATCTTTTGTCTCAAAAACTGTGCCATGAAACTCTCTTGATCCCCTAATGTATATGCTCTAAGGTTAGGCTTAGTGCTAGAAGTTTGGCACTGGTCGACTAGACACTGTGAAGTGAGACGTGACACCCATTGTGATATTCTTCCTTTCTTCAGCACCATACATTTATGTTCGGCCAAAATATGTTATTTACATATTCCTTTTCCAAAATCTTCTTTTTAATATTAAAGATTATCTTTTTGCGATATCGTTGTAACTTGTAACATATTCCCTCCGTTTTTTATTAGTTGTCGTTTTAGAGAATTTTGTTTTTTTTTAAATTAATTGTCGTTTTCAGTTTTCAATGTAATATTTATTACTCCCTCTGTTTTATAATAGTTGATTTTCTGAAATATTGCACACAGATTAAGAAACAATAAGGACTCAATTATTTTTTTATTTTATTTTTTAGATTAGTTTACTTTAAAATTAATTTATTATTTTAATTAATATTACTTTATCTTGTCCACCAATAAAAAATGGAAACATGCATTAATTACAAACAAACATGTATTAATTACACACAAGAAATCAAATATTGTGAAACAAGAAAAAAAATTCAAAAAATCAACTATTATGAAACAGAGGGAGTAGTTTTTTATTTTGTATAATTATTTTTATTATGCAATTTGTTTTATTATTGGTTAAATTGTATTTAAATAGATAATTAATGATGTTTTTATATTGAAAAGCTAATACAATTAATATTTTCTTAATCTGTGTGGATAACCTTCAAACGACAACTAAATAAATCCGGAGGGATTATATTTTTTGGGAGGTTCAACTAAAACCAAAAAAAAAAAATTATATCACAATTGTAAATTTCTAAAATGTTGATAATTTGTAAACTACCACAAAAAAAAAAATTCCATGACTTAAGGTTGGTCAATTGAACATATTTCAAATTGGAGAAACTCAAATCGCAATATTTCACAGGGGCAAGTATATTCGAAAGGTGATTACAGCATTAATAGATTAGATAAACCATAGAGATTTACCAATAGATAATTTTAGCGAAGTGAAGATGAATGGTGGGTGGTATTAGAGATATCTCACAAGATCCTCTGCTAAATGGTGGGTCCACATACTAGTTGGGATCGGTAAATCCATTTCTATAAAGCTCTACGATCGTAGTTATGTGGTTCGTATTTATTGGCCAACATCCTTTTTATGTCGCTTTATAGCCAAACGGGATAAAAGTAGAAGGATATATTCTTTTGAAATAAAAGGCCAGATCTGACTTTGTGATAATCAGTGTGAATGTTCTACCAAAAGATAAAAGAGATTGAGAGATTGAAAAGATGTGTGGTGTGTAGAAAAAGGCAGAACAGTGAAACTATTTATGGACCAACCGTATTATCTATGTCTCATGAGTTTTTAAGAACAAAAATTATTGTCTTTTTTTCTTTTTTAGATGTCGTGTGATTGAAATGGTCAAAGTAGTAGAAGCAATTTGGACAACTGGCGCAATATGATAGAGAAATGAATGAAATAAGTGGTTGAAACTTGAAACCTAAAATAATAGTAATTATAGTATTTTGTGTTGTCAACACTCTATGTTTTGTGAATTTAAGAGTTATATTCCTCAGAAAATAATGGGATGATTTTCACTAACGTTTTCAGACACTTCTTGTCTGAAGTTTCTATATTTTTCACATTATTTAAAGATATTTTCCGGTAAATAATATGCATATTTACTAAATTTTATGATGTTATTGTATATTAGCATTTTTGTTGTTCACTTAATTTTTTTGTTTAACTTATCCTTCTTATGCGATTCATCTTAGTTCGTACGTATTGATTATCATCAATATATCTGACAGTTATGAACAATATACGAATTAAAAAGATGGAGGCGCGGTTCCAACCATTCACACATTTATCCTCATTAGAGACATTTGTAACTTATCATTCGCTGTTGAGATTACTTGGAAGCAAATGAACCACAGGAAAACGGTGATCACAAGGAAAGATAACTTCAACACAACCCATACCTTCAATCTACGAAGATATTGCGGCGTTACACTCCATACATATATATATTTTTAAAGATATATAATTGAACTCTCAGATGGGGACGAAATAGTACATATTACATATATCCAAAAAGGCGTGAGAAACTTCTCATCAACAAACAAAAGAAAGAACTCATGTAGGGAAAAAGAAGAAAATAGTAAAATTTATAAACGTACTTTTTTGGGGGGCTAAGCTGCAAAAAGAAAACATCGCTTCTCGTTATTCTTGTGATCATTTCACTTGGACAAAAGTTTCATTAAAAGTGCTTTCGTGTATTAAGAAAGAAGAAGACGCATCAAAGTTCATTAAACTTCTTCACAGATCCTCTGGACCGTTGATGTCCTGTAAGAACATAATGCAGAAATTGAGTCTAGTGATATACCTCCTACAATATCACCCGGAAATGTAACATGCCCGAAACACAGTGTTACTGTGTTATATATAAACGTTACCTTATTCTCGACCACGGAATTGTCGGGGATTTCAAGTTTAGTCCCAGAGTTTGCCTTCACCGACACTTTGCCCTTGAGAACAACGCCGGATCCAAACCAGACATCACCAGAGACCTTAAGGCTATCGAGCTCAACTATACTCGGGATGGACTTGAACCGGCTAAGGAAGCTAGCGACCTGTTTATTATTAACCAATCACAAAAAAAAAAACACAAAATCACAGTTACATTGTATTAGAATGAAATAATCTTTCCAGAAAGCCCAGACAGGGAAAGAACGTTATTTTACCTTTTTGAATTCGGGTCCCAATTCGATAGCTGGGTTGGTGGGGTTTGTTCTAGCTTTGTTTCGTGTAACAAAACCATCCACGAGAGTGTAGAGATCCGACTGTGAAAGATGATTAAGAATTGTTAACTCTCTCTCGCTCGTCTAATGGATATTTAGGATTTTTGTAGGGAAAGGAGTGGTTTAATTTAGCTTACTTGAACAAGAAGCAAATCTGAAGTTGCCTTTACTGGTAAGAACCGTGACCGAGGTACATTCACACCGATTGCGTTATCAAAAAACTGTTTGAAGACGGGCAAACATTAGAAGAAAGTAACGGTTGTGCAAAGAGAAAATATTAGAAGAAAGTATCGGTTTGCGTTTCTCCTAAAACTGCGTTAAGTGAAATATTAAACAAAATGCATACCCTTATCGCAGCACCAGCTGCCGTTTCCAGTTGTAGAACTTTGACTCCATCGACTTCCTGAGAAGATTTTAGACAAATCATGCAAAATTGCACTATAATAACTGTGCAGCGTGGCATGATTGTAAAACTAGTACCTTCGGGTTTGGGATGATCTCCATCTTAAGCGCGTCAGCTTCCACAAGCTTTTTGATGGCTTTCAAGTTAACCCAACTGTAAGAAGTTCAACAGTTAAAACCTTCGCATATAAATCTGTTATTCTCCATGTTTTGGGGGCCAGAGAGACTACTTACAGGTTGTTTGTGTTGAAAATCTTGAATTTCTCAATTGATTTGAATTCATTTACCTACCAAAAACGCGAGAAACTCATTCTTATTCACGCTCAATAGCTAGAGATAAGCAATTATGTTTCATGCTCAGAGCAGAAGCAACATTTTTTATCGAATATGGGAGCGAATTATGTAACCAGTAAAGGAAGCTAATGAAAGCTAGCATATAGTGACAAATTGGTACAAGAATTTCAAGGAAGCTCTAGTAAAAATGAAATCTATATCATCAAAAAGAAAGGAATAAATATAAAGTAACTAGAAGGAAAATAAGAGGTGTGGACTTACATGCTCATCAGGAACCTGAGCAATCTCCAAAAGCTGAGATACATAACGAAAAAGTCAAATTTAGAGGTCAATAAGAAAAACGAAAAACCGTGAGAATCATGAGTTGCAAAGACGACAGCAAATTATATCTCCTTATACTATTTAATTAGGAGCCTCGATAAACCTATGATTTGAAGGTGGCATGCTCAATAAGAAGGCGAGTGATTACAGAATGCAAAAAATTCTATAGTAGGTACTTACACCAAGTTTGATTAGTAACTTTCCAATAACCATGCAGCTGAAAAGCTACATCTAAACAGGAAACAAATTTTACCTGTACTTTTCCTTCGTAGGAGATGAGAGTTCCTCCCTTTACATCAGCTAGAGTTTTGGGTGTAACCTCCATACAGTACTCATTTTTGTTCTGGATCAGGTGCTTCAAGATTTCTGAAACAGTACGGAGTCAACCACACCCAAGAATTAGTCTCTGATTGAATGTTATTTTTCTAAATGCAACTAAGCAAAAGAAATAAAGGAGAAACTAAGAAGGGAGATATACTTAAGTCAACGATAGCGCCAAGGTTGTCTGAGTTGGCGACGAAGACATACTCCTTACCCTGAATAGTGAGAAACCCGGAATTAAAATTGGCAAATGCTAAACGACACAAAAATCATGGATTATTTGTGGAGACAAAAATAGTAATAGACTTGCCACTGTTCAAAAAATAAATTGGCAAATGCTTAAGGACACAAACATCAAGTATTAAAGGAAAAAACCTGTGATAAGAAAGCATCAAGCTTGCCACTGTTCATGAGGGATGGGAATACATCACCGTGACCAGGAGGATACCTTCACAAAGACATCTGTTATAAGTGGTGCGATCTGATAGAACCATAGAAGATATTTAAATGCAAATGGAATCTCAAATGCAAATGGTATATTTACAGGAAAACAAACTCCATGAGGATTGCAATATTTGGTTAAGCAGCGCCCAAAGGAGCATCATCAAGATTGTAAGCATGCCACACTCTCGAATAGACCCCAGGACAGCTTATCACACATTTCAAAGCTATTTGACCACTCTCTATATAATTGGGTAACCCTAGAATACAAGGACTCACAGCTTCATATATTAATAATGACAACTAAATCACCAGGCCTAAACACATATATAGCATAACATAATCAACCATTACTCAGTACAAGAAAGATTCCATTTAATAAGGGGACCAGATTTGTCTGATCGTTATTAAAGAAAAAAAGAATTGTCTGACCCAGTTATGAGTAATTTGTACTAGAATCAGAGGATCATCTAAAAGTGCTCTGAGTCTGTTTCTATTCCTTCTGCCAGTTAATGTGGTGATGCAAGTGCAAACTTTTTAAAAAGTTTTGCGTGATAAAAAGAAACCAAATGCAAACGGCAGTGAAAATTACAGTACAAGTTTACTAGTCTACCAGAGCGAGATCATACCAGCCATCCTTGTCAGTCTTTCCTTTGCTAGGCCACGGCACAAACTCATCAGCAACAACACGAGGATACTTGCTCTACATAATTTAAGACAACATTATTAGTTCGAGGGTTGACCTGGATAGAAATAAATGAAATTTGTTTTTTAACTTGTAAAGGCATTGACATGAAATACCTGATTAAAAGTGTGAATATCAACATTCGAGTTGGTGTACTTCTCCACAATCTGAACGAGGCAAAAATCAGTCAGCCTACAACAAGATAGATGTAGAACTCAAGAGATGTGATCCTCGGTGAAATAAAAGTACCTTTTGGGTGTCATCATGTGTATTGAATGAGTTCATGAGAACCAAGGGAACCTTGCAGCCATACTTGTTGTTGAGATTCTGTGGTGGAAAGCGATATATGAGGTTATGTAAAGGCATTAAGATTAGAACAAACGAAACGAAAAAACGACAAACCTCGATCTGGATAACAATCAGGTCCAGAAATGTCAAACCATCACGAACTTCGATAACCGATCTGCACAGAAACAGGAAAAGAAAATGAAACCTATTGTTTGAAGAAAGAATATGTCGCATAGCGCATCAGGGAAGGACTGGACATAGAAACCTCAAGAATATTTACATGAAATCGATGATGGTGTACACAATAACCCAAGCTAAAACTATGGATGGTAATTACTAGGACGAACTTGTTTACCCCTGAATTGGACTACTACCATAATCCATGCTATTTTTAAAAGATGACAGTGAATGTTTTACTAGTTACAGTAAGACGCGCTAAGTCCATTAGCGATGGCAATAAATCCTATAGACCAAGGAGCAGCCCACAAACAAGGAGGACATGGTAAATGGATCTTCAAGCTGGCAAAGGTATTCAGAATTACACCATCAACTTTACTATCTCAAAGAGACTAGAGCAACTACTCAAGCAAGGTTAAGCGAAAATAGTTCTGAATACTGATAGTGACGCAAGATTAGAAAGCTTACTTTGGACCTGTGCATCCCATTGTCGTTCCCAAACCCCCATTAAGCTTTAGCACAACAAGCTTGTCCAACAGATATTTGGTCTCGGAAGCATCTTTCATAACATTGAAACATAAAAAAAATTATTCTTGAATGGTAGGGAGACAAATGTCGCAATGCAAAACTAGTACACAGAACATCCAGCATACAGAGAGCAAACTTTAGTACAGATTTGTATCATTCAAGAAAAGAATAAAAATACCTTCGGAGACGTTAGCCATTTTATCGTAAGGAACAACGATCTCATCAGTAGGTGTCTGGATCTTACTCCATTCAATGTGCTGAGCCTCACCGCTTCAGATTCAAATGAAAATCAGAGAATTTAGAAAAACATTTGGTCGTCTATGATATGTAAACAATCTATGTTTTTAGATCTATCCCCAGATCCAATACTAGAAATAGTCATAAGTCGATCATTTCAAAATTAAAACTACATCCATGAAGAGAGAATTTGATAAACACCAACAGGAAAATTCAAACTCATTCCAGAAATCTATGAAAACTAAGAGTAAACGGAAACGTTTCAACCAGAAACAGCTTGATCTTCCCAACTCAAGATGAAAGCAAAAAAAAAAAAAAAAAATTCGATCAACGTAGGAAAATACACATCCGAAGATACAAAACCAAGGACGAACCTCAGGTAACGTGAGACGAGGTTGATGAATCCGCTTCTCTCATTCTCGCTGAAACAAGGGAAACAGATCAAGTTTAAACGATGAAGAAGATCACCAGATCTAGAATCAGAATCTGAGCTGACAGATTTTCGACAGAAAGAAATAAAACAGATAATCGAGAAGGAAACGAGAGCGCAAACCTCATCTCATTAAGTCCATCGGTGGCGGATTTGAGCTGAGGGAGCTTCTCGATTGCAGCGGCCATGGTTGATTTCCGATGATAGAATCCGATGTACAGAAATTAGTCGCAGAGAGGAAAAAGAGAGATTGAGAATGAAGAGTGGTCTGGGTATTTATAGTAAGGGAGAGCTTGGGGAGGAGTTAGTGGTGACGATGAATGTTACCGTAAATAATGTCCGTTGTCTTCTCTTTGCCAATTGTTAACAGAAAATCTGTCGCACCTTTCAATTGCATGTCGATTCGGTTTTTATCTTCTCTTTATTACTGTACCGTTCGGTTAAATGTTTAAACCAAGCAAATTGTACCGTTAGGTATATGATTGATTTTAGTATTTTCGGTCCTTTTTCTTTTTCTCTACAGTTCCAACCTAACCACATAATTAAGAGATTTAAAAGGAATATTAAAAATAAAATTTATAACGACGGAAAAATGACATCAAATCAACGTATAATTGAACCAGTTTTCGATCGATTTCACTCCAATTTATAAAGAACTAAAAACCATATGGAACACATTTGTACAATTGTTCTTATTATTATCACCATAATAACGAATTAATATGAAGGTTGAAAAAACGAGTACCACGTCTTGCAGGTAAGCTTAGCTATCCATTTCCCATGGTGCAGTTTTCACGTACCAGAAAAAAGATATTTTGATGTAGATATGTTACTTACAAACATGAGCGTTACACTTTATCGTTTAATTGATGAATTTCATAGAATAATTAGTCATATCAAAGTTATTTTACTTAAACAAATACTGAAACTTTATAAATAAAAAAGAATACTGAAATTAAGCAATAACATCTTATAATCATAGAAAAATGTCACAAACAAATATGCCAACAACAGGCTATAGCATAAATATTGTTTATCTAAGGATCACCCTTAGAAATTATTATAAGTTTAAAATCAACCAAGAACATGAAAGATATGAGTATAATGACTCATTAGAGAATCATCGGAGAAAAGTCTTCTCACTCACAAACATTATTGAAGAAAGAAAAAAAGATGAAAAACCAAACAGTTGATGGTTTATGAAGCTGGTTGGCTAAACTCTCTCACTGACCATCGCAATTAAGCATGGCTTTAATCCTTTGAACGGTGGAGCTGATCAAGGTATTGACTGTGGCCGTAGACTCTTCCATGTTGAGATCAGCAGATAAATTCGGACCGCAGACGAGGATCTGGAAAGCCACCGTGAGGAGAGTCTTACAATAGTCGCGGCCACCGTCGAGCTCGGCGGCAGGGGTGGAGGAAGGACGGCCGTCACGGGAGATGATGAAACCGGAAGGGAGGATTGCAATGCCGGAAGGATCGACTTGGCCTGAAACGGCAGCGTATGTTGTGTTTAGATCCATTGGAGCGTAGACCACCATACCTCCTAATGCATCTATGAAGCTGTCTTGTAATATCATCAATTCACCATTCTCCGTTGCAGTTGTAGGCTAAATACATATATACAGAAAAAAACAGCATTAGCTATTAGGAGAAAATAATCAAAGTTAATTAATGCAATGTCATATACATCAAATGTGATGAACTTCCATGAGAATGTAGATGTGGGTTACTTTGGAAAGAGAGATATTTATGTTAGTCATATGATCAAATATATGTTTGATCTATTATAGTGATGATGATCAACTTGCGGTTCATGACCTCTAAACTGTCAAACAAAAATGAACATCAGTGACTCGATCTAGAGCCGGTTCCGGAGAATTTTTTTAGGAGGCAATCATATGGTTTTCAAGGAAACACTTAACAAAAAGAATATATATCAGTAAAACATGATAATTTTTGTTGTCATTTCTATTATATTTTGCTCGTAAGAAAACATGGATTTCTTACACTAATTGAAACATCTCTATGAAATGCTAGTTGAAAAATGTTAATTTATATTAACTTTTATATAATGTACAAATAGCAAGCTAGTAGTATGAGTAAAATACCTGGAGAATAGTCACAGAGCACTTATTGTCTAATCCAGTGACAAAGCGAGCGACCTCAGCGACCGGTTTCCCTTGGCAGAGAACGTCCCACTTTTTTTTTTTTTTAAATCCGAAAATTAGATTTCATGTTAATTACCAAATTAATTAACAACAATGTGAAAAACAACGACATTTTTTTTATTTAAAAAAAGCTAGTTAAATATGGACTCGTGAAATCAATCAATACATGCATATATATTCTTACCTGGTGACGAACGTCGAGATTTTTAAGGAAATTGTAGACTTGGACAGGAGAGAGAGGGAGACATAAAGATGAACCGGCGCAGACAATGAGACCGGGCGGTTGACCGGCCTCATTGTTTACCCGCACCGAAACCCTAACTCCGCTACTGTTGGTTTCAGATAGTTGAGAGAAATCGAATTTTCCAGACATTTTTAGTATCCATGCAAAATTCTTGGACATTTTTTCTCCTAACCTCATGACACTCCTTCTTCCTTCTATAGTTTTCACAACTACATTAAAAAGGAGAATATATCTTTAACTTTTATAAATAGTTGGGAGTTTCACACGCTAAGAGTTTACAAACTAGCACTTTGTCAAAACTAGCACTTTGTTAACCAAAAAAACTAGCACTTTGTCAAATATCATTGTTGCATTGCATATTAGAATTTTCTTCAAAGCTCAAAATATTTTAAATAAAAAAAATCAACGTATTGTGATATGTATAAAAATACCTCCGCCGTAGTCGGTGGTGGGGAAGGCAGGGATGGAGGAGAGAGAGAGCCTCTCACACATTCTCTCAAGAGTAACGGTCCAACGGCGAGCTCCGTAGCCGAAGCCGCCGCATAAAAGGTCTCTGTAAAGCCGATGTGTTCGCACTTTATCATTCACTTCCACGTGCTCCATCCACGTCACCTGCTCATGCATTGTTTGTCATAGTTTAATTTTGGTTTTTTTTCTTATAGGGTATTCAAATTATAAACTTTCAGTAAATGCTCTAAAACGGTTCTATCATATATCATAAACCATTTCTCGCGCTCTATGAAAATGATATGCTATGCTTTTGAAACCTGCCAAGCCATTTCCAACCATCAAATATATTTCTGATTTTATTGTTTTTCGGTATTGACTATAGATGTGAGATGTCTAATTGATCAATTATAATGGATTTAGTTAAGAAAGAAAGACTGAAATTAACAAATATAGGAAACTATTTAAAATAAATAAATACATATAAAAAAAAAAAAGAGAAGAGAGGGGACCTTAGAGCGACCGTCGGGCAAGGCTTGGATGAGACAACCGGAGGGACGTTTGGAGCAAGTCGGAGTCGTAAACTCAAAGTCAAAGTTTACGTGATGACACGACACGTCAGCAACCACCCAGAGATCTTCTTGCATTTGTTGGCAACATCTTAGGATCATAAACTCTCTCGGTGGCACCAATGGCGACAGAATGTGCACTTGCTCATACATCTGTTTTATTTATTAGCCCGTATTTTTTGTTGTTTCACCAAATGGTTATATATACTGTTAAAATAAAACATTACAACAAAAAATGTTATAAGATTCATACCAGTTTCGAGAAGTTTTGTTTTCGTGGGTCCATGGATTCCAGGACGTGAATCGTTTTAGCTTCGTTCACAATTGTTGGAAAAAGCCTCGCCCATTTCTCCTGCAATATTTTGTATTTTTGAATTGTATATTAAAATTATAGTTTCCTAGATTTTCATTATATCATGACAAACTTTATTTATAAAAAACAGAACAAATATGAGTAGTTTAGATTTTTTAAAATGAAACTTTTGCTAAAAAAATGATAATTCATATGCTGATTTTAGTTTATATATAAATTATTAAATACGTACCGTATCCAAGAAGATTTCCACCAAGTTTCTTGCATCTATTGGAACCACGACGACTTCTTTAGAAGACTCAATACGAGCACTTGGGTTCTTGAAACGGTTAATCTTTGTAAACAATTTCTCATAGTTCTCTTGATCAATGACGAGTCTACCATCGATAGACGACTTGACCCACATTGGTTCTTCGATTTGAATCAGTTTTATAACCTCTGTCACAGCATTTGCCGTCGTTTCAGACATCATGATGTTCTCCATTTGAGATAGCGGCTGGAAATGCTGCGGTCTTCGCGGCTGAGGCGGCTGAGGCGGCTGAGGCGGCTGAGGCGGCTGAGGCGGCTGAGGCGGCTGAGGCGGTTGGGCGATGTTGGAGTGTTCACGAGGGCATGGTCCTCTTGCCAAGCTAAGTGGCTCGGGGAGATAGTTCGAAGAAGGTCCATAGGAGACATGAGGATTATCGGAGGAGGTCGATGCGTACAATGATGGACCATGTGGATAAGCTACGGAATCGACGCTAGCTGTTGGGTGAACTCCACTCTTATTTACGTAACTTGAGAGTCTTTCACGCTGATATTTATATTTCGATCAACATAAACATTAGTGATTTTATCGGTAACATAAATACGATTATTGTGATATCAACATAGTTTGTAAATTCAAATATTTAACAAGGAAACAAATCAGATTATTCATTTTTATGAGTCACGGGGTTGAACTAGTTGAATTGCGGATGATTAAATTGAAGATTTATATTAAAATACGATTAGCAAAAATATAAATAGAATATGTATATATACAGTAAAAAATTATCAAAATTACTTGTTTGTATCATATTCCATTGATGTTTATAATCTTATTTTTTATGAAATTTTATAATTATGTTTAATATTTCAAATGAAAAGACTCAACCGGCAAAGTGAAAACTATACAAACCCCAACAGATTTCTTTACGAATCCGACGTAGGCCTGATTTATAATACAACATACAAAACATTCTTAAAACCAAAAAAAAAAAACATAAAAAACATTCACAATTAAGGAAAAAGTAAACATTCATCCAAAAATTATTATTTTTTATAAAAAAAATTAGCTTGTTCATATTTGGTGATCTTCTATCTATTATAGAGATGGTTTAATGGGTTTAGTGAAAAAACAATTGCATGTAGACATTATTTGTAAAACTAAACAAGGAAACAAATCATACTAACTTTCATATAAACGCAGAATCACGGTGTTCAAATGAATCGATTTTCATATAAGCGCAGAATCACGATATTCAAACGAATCGTTGATTACTAAATCGATGATTAATTTTATAAATAATAACTATTAGCATAAATAAATATAATATATGTGTATAGTTCAATTAAAGTTTGTTTAAATCATTTTTTATTAGTTTTCCATTGGTGGTTTTTTGTATCGTTTTAAAAAAGTTCAAACATGTATTACTCTATTTAATACTTTAAATAAACCATGAACCAGACAAACCCTAACAAAATTCTTACTATCTTCAGTATTTAAAATGAACTGTAAACTAAAAAAATTGAAAAAGACTTTTCTGTTTTTTTATATATAATTTTAAGATTTATACAACGATCCATAAGTAAATGATACTAAACAGTCTTTGCTTCTTAGCGTTAGAATTTAACAATCCAGTTAACGATGGAAATATTGGTGAGAATCAAAATATTAATTGAAAAAAATAATAATATATATGCATGAACACGCACCTGTGCTTTGAGGTAGGCGTTTTGTGCACGCAGTTTTTGGAGATAGAGCTCGCGTTCTTCTTTCCCAGGGCGAGGGCCACCACATGGAGGGCAAGTCACAGTCTTTAGTGCCTCTTGTATTGCTTCATTCTCACATCTTATCTTCATGTTTTCTGCTCTAAGTGATGCGTTGTCTGCTTTTTCACTTTGAGCCTATAATTTGAAAAAAAAAATCTCAAAAATTAAATTACTTCACATCATGACTAAATTATAATATATATAGATATATAGAAAAAAAATAGATACGACAAAATATTACTTTAGCTTGTGTTCTTTTGTTCTGAAACCAAAATTTGATTTGTTTTGGTTTAAGTTTCAGTTCTTCGCTCAATTTACGTCGTTGCGATTCGTCTGGATGAGGACATTCTTTGAAATACCTTAAATCAAATTACAAAACATTAGTTATAAATTAAGAGGCTCTTAATCAAAATGTTTTAAAAAAACTAAAATCTTACGCTTCAAGCCTTTGAATTTGATGATTAGAGTGGCGCTGGTAAATCTTCTTTTCCCTGTTGTTAGTGTTCATAGAAGTTTCCCGTTCATCGCTTGAACTGCTATCACGACTAGAATCCATTTTCTTTTCCAACCCAAATGAAAAGAAAATTACATAATATATTTACCACTTCAAAGCTATTTATATAGAAAACTATAATAGACAAATATGGTTATAAAGTTTTTCCTTTTTCTTTGCAACAATTTAAAATTTTATTCTATGACTTTAAATTTTATTTAATAATAAATGGAATAAGTAGGGCAACAAAAAAAAACAAAAACCATTTATGAAACAAATCTCATAACAGATTTATTTCCCTTTTGGGACACGTTACTTTTAAAGTAATTAATAAAATATTTTCTGTGATATTTTCAGTAGATAAAAAAAATTATTTTCTACTACATTTTGATTTATGGCCATGTTTCACTTATCGTACATATGGATAAGGATTGGACATGAAAAAAAAAGGAACAAATCAACTGTAGTGTCTAATTGACAAACAAATGTTAAGGTGAGATCCTGGATTTTTATCATAAACTAATATATATTAATTTTTGTTTGCTATCTTCTAATATATTAATAAAGAAAAGTTATTTTACTTTTACCAAAAACAAGATAAGTTATTTGTTCTTTGTTTTAAAATAATTAAATTTGATTCTAGACAGTCCACAAATTAAAAGATTTGTTTTATTGCATTTTACTGTTTATTTAGATTTTAGCTTAAATGATTTATCTGGGGATATTTCCATGCTTTTTAAGCATATAGTATATATATATATAATTTATACATGAAAACTCACTATTTATTTTTAAAACTTGATATCTATCTATATATATATATATATATAATAATTTATGTTAATAACATTATGTGTTTAGCAGTCTATTTAATATTTTTAGTCCAGAAACTCTAAAAATATACAAATATCAAATCCAATTATACAAACTTAAACATATCTAATAAAAAATTGAAATCATTTATTAAATAACAATGAATTATAATTCAAATTCAAACTCTATAAATAAATTTATAAAGGTAAGAAACCCAGAAAACATTAGGCTAATATGCATATATACTAATTAAATTGAAAAAAGAAAAATTGGAAGAAAAACTAAAAATATTTTTTGTTGAACATAGAATATGTCAAATTCATTTATTTTCAATGTTAAATATTCTGATCCAATTATTCAATTTAAATAAAAATCGATAGCATTATTATTTTTTAAAAGGAAATATCGCAAAGACATAACATTGAATTTTTATCAGCAGAATCATAATGTCGAGTGAGGCTATTTTTATACAACATGTAAATATTGTGACCTTCAATAATAAAACATATAAATGAGCATTAAACAGCAATAAAATAAGAAAAAAGAAAGAAAGAAAGAAAATTCAAAACGTTAATTGAAAATCTAGCCCAAAAAATAAATAAAACATAAATGAAAATTATATTATATTTTGTAGATTATAAATAAGTTCTCGGAGTCAATTCGGTTAAATAAAAAAATGAGAATCTTAATTAAGTTATCGACCATTCTTCCTCTTCTCTTCAACTATTTTAGTTTTTCCTCCGCCGTTTCGTATTTCTTCTGCTTTCGCCAGAACGTTTGTGTTCTTCCTGCTTGATCGAATCCTTCCTCTTTTGTTCTCCATGATGGTATTTTATCTTTTCTTTTGCTGATAATTCACTTTTCTCTTTTTAGATCTTTCACTATTTTTTCATATTTTTTTTTGAAATAACTATTGATTGAATGAATCCATATCCTGATAATACTAAATTCTAATAGAACTACAAGATCAATGAAAATAAATTTTTTCTGGAAACAGTAAAAATTTTATGAAATTTTTATCATGTCAATAGATTTTACAAAGAATGTCAAAGGTTTGATGGGAGTTGGGTTTTTAATTATTCTTAGAAATTGTATAATATATTGTTATTGGTTTATAAAGTTTAACATTCTTCATAGATTTTACAATAACTAACAATTTTTTTTTATTAATTCTATTGCAATTTGCTTGATGATTGTTTTATATTAAATCTGTTAATATTTATTTAAAATTTATGTAGTTTTTAAATAGCATGGATTAATGCATAAATATAATTTACTATGGCTTTGTCACCCTTTTTTCTGTTGTTGACAATTTTGGCTTTGATTTTAATTTTAAAATGAAGCTTAAAATAATTTAACAAATATATCTTTAGTAATCAAATCTAACATAATTAATAATTCATATAACATCTTGTGCTATAAAATTTAAATATGAAAAACTGAAATTACAAAGAGATTTCTGTAATAAAATGATTCCAACCAGTATAAATTATTTATTCATATATATTATACTTAAAAAAAATATTTAGATAAAAAAAATTCATATATAGTCAGTGAGTGAAAGTATACTAATAAAAAAATTAAATAGAAAACCAGATGATACTTAAAAAAAAATATTTCCTTGAGCAGCAAAATCATTTTCATCTTTATGGGTTAATTCTTCAGGACATGCTCATAACCTCTATAAAATTTTATTTATCTATTTAGTTTTATTACTTTATTTTTATTTTATAATTGATACTTTGTTGACAGTTAAAAAAAATAAGAATCATTTTTTTTAAATAATCCGTACTTATTTTATAATAGGCACACAAAATTGCATTCTTAAAATTTATGAGAATGAGAATGATCAAGATATGTTCGCAAATAATTATTTATGGACATTGAAAATGCATAGTTGGCTTAAGCTACGTGTCTATCATTGATCACTTTGTGCTTATACTCTGATTTCTTTTAATCACACGGTGAATAACTTTATATTATGATCTCTTTGATAGTATTGTTTAATTTTCCAAAAGTTTTCAGTGTTGGTCATTTATTTTACCAAATAGAGTTGTGTCATATGTTTGATATTTTAATTTATAAAAAAATATTTTCAGAATTATTCTCTTTTTACTTTTTAGAAAAACAAAAAAGTATTACCAAAGAGGTCATAATATACAGTTATAAAAAAATGGTTGTGTAAACATATGTTAATTTTTTATTTGGTTTTGCATAGTTTTTTTCTTTTTACATTTTATTAGTATATTAGTACATACAGTATATATTTGTTTTTAGTATATACAGTATATGATTAGGTGTATTGGTATATTAGTATATTAGTTTTTCTCTTTTTTACTATTTATTAGTATATTAATATATTTATTTTATATTTAAATTTAATTCCAAATTATAGATAGTAATTTAAATTATTTTGGATTTTCTTACATATGAATTAGATTATTTACCAAAAACCACAAAATCAGTTATTATTGTATCTTTTACAAAAATAATAAACAGATATTAATTTAGACTTAAATTGTAATTTCAAATTTAAATAAAATTTCCAGGATAAACGAATATGTTATTATTATTTTTTTATTATCAAAAATTAACCTAAAATATTAAATATTCAAAAGTAGTATATATTTATATTATACATAATTTGATAGAGAGGGTTAAGATTATGTTTTCATAATTGCGATTCTTTACGGGTTGGTTTATCAAAACATGCAAGAGATAATTGGTTGATTCGAGTTAGATTAAAAAGACGAAATAATTAATTTTAACACTCATAGATATATAGATTGATCCAGTAGTAATCAAATACACATAATAACAATGTTTATAATTATAGTTACATTAAGGTAATTGTATACTTAATTAACTAGATTCTAATGAGTTAGAATAAAAATATAATGTATATTAGTATAATAAAAATATGAGTTAGTTAAATATACATTAATATAATTATAATTGTAAATATTATTATAATGTGAATTTAGATTACCACACAATCAATTTATATATCTGTTAAAATAGATTAATCCGTCTTCTAATCTAAATCAAACAACTAACTATCTTGCATGTTTTGATAAATTAACCCACAAAAAACTGTAATTATGAAAACATAATTCTAGGACGCTCTATCATATTACCGTATAATATAAATATATATTAATTTTGAATTTTTAAAAACTTTAGACTAATTCATTATGATATAAAATAATAATAAGATGTTTATTTATCATTAGTATGAAAATCTTATTTAAATTTAAAATTTAAAATTAAGATATATTTATTATTTTTGTAAAAGATACAATAATAACTGATTTTTGTGGTTTTTGGTAAATAATCTAATTTATATATAAAAAATCCAAAATATTTAATTTACTATCTCTAATTTGGAATTAAATTTAAATATAAAGTAAATATACTAATATACTAATAAAAAGTAAAAAGAGAAAAACTAATATACCTAATTGTATACTGTACTGTATATACTAATATACTAATATACTAAGAAAAGGTAAAAAGAGGAAAACTAAGCAAAAAAAAAAAATTAACATAGGTTTACACAAAAATTTTTTTGTATGATTGTATATTATGACCTCTTTGGTAATACTTTTTTATTTTCCCAAAAAATAAAAAGAGAAAAATTCTGAAATTTTTGTAAGCTTCATTGCAAAACCAAAATCAAAGCCAAAATTATCAACAAAAAATGGTGACAAAGCCATAGTAAATTTATGCATGAAATCCATGTTATTTAAAGATTATATGCATTGTAAATAGATAATAATAGATTTTTTAATAAAAAAATATCAACCAACAATAGAATTTATAAAAAAATGTTAGAATCCATAAATCATTAACAGTAGAATCTATGAAGAATTGTTGAATTTTATAAAAAAATAAAATAAAAATATATTCTACAATTCTATTGTCAGCAACATGTTTCTAATTATTTTAATTATAAAAGTCAAATTCAAGTAAGAAAGTTAAATAAATAAATAAATTTTATAGAGGTTATGAGCATGTCCTTATGAATTAACCCATGAAGATGGAAATGACTTTGCTGATCAAGAAATTAAAATTTTCTTGAAATATCATCAAACCATACCCTTTCTTAAAAAAAAAAGTTTTGGTTTTTTAAAAGGGCTTCTCTTTTACCTGATTAATTGCGTTTTATGCTTTGCGAAGAGAAGTCCACTACATTATATTTGAAGTAAACGAGCATACAATCTAAACCAGGAGAACAAATTAATTCAACAAAAT